TTCATTAACAGGACTCAAATAGCATTGTGTTTTCAAAATACGGTGTCGTTTGAAGTCAAATTAACCCATACTAGCAGGCTGAAGCGTTTTGCCTTCGGCGCCAAGATTTAATACAGATGTATAATCTAGGTCATTATTTTGATAATAAAAAGTGATATTAAATTTGTTACTTCAGAAAGAAAATGTATAATCTTCTTTGAATCAATAATTCGTGACTCAAAAGGCTATAAAGTTATCCCTCGTTGAATTACAATCAATTTGAAGTACGACACATCTCGTAGTTGGCAGTGAATTGGTTAATTTACATTCATTTTTATCGCGATATTTGCACCACAGATAAATTCAACGTAGCATAAATGAATATGGAGCCTCTAAGTTTGTTTTACCCTTAGTTTAAGGCAACTGCCCTGCTTGTTCATATATTAAAACAGCCCTGTGTGGGAACTCCGCCTGTGACTTAGCGTCATCGAGGGATCAGCTGAAGGTTCTCTTAAACGTACCTTGTGATTATCGTAAGCGAGGTCAAGTACCGATGACGCGCCCCGTTGGTATATATTTTCGCGAGGTCTTTCGCATAATTCTGTAAAAATATACAGAGCGAGTGGCGGTGAAGTAGGAGAGAGCGGTCTTCGAGTACCAAAGAAAGCCGCCGGTGTAACTTGGCAAGGCAACGAACCTTCCACAATCCTCATCCTCCACTAACGTCACCACCATCTCTCGTGCCACGACCTCCTCCTCGTCTTTTCGTCGACTTAGCCAGTAGTTTTCTACCTACATACCCTACGCGGGTGGAAGAAAGACACCGCCATTTCTATAGGCATTCATCATTCACTCCTCGCTCAACGTTCCTCCTTTCTCTCTCTCTCACACACACACGCACACTTTTGCCTTCCCTCGCTTATTCCCTCTCATTTTACCTACTACCGCCTATTTCTGTGTTTGCGCCCCCTCCCCCCTCTCTCTCTTTCTCACCTATCCACCCCCTCCTCCACAATCATTTTCCGCAACTTCTGGCGTTACGTCCCTGAAATCTGCATTGATGGTAATCTACCAGGCTTTTAACCGTATATCACGCTCCTCGACGACCGATTTTGGATCACGGATAGAAATCGTTGGCGCCCGAATACAGCCGAGACGGAGACGAAAAACACCAGTCGACTCGAACGACAAAGTTTTCAAGGAGGCGGTCCTGCAAACGATGTTTATGGCATGCGTGTTTTCGCGGCGTTTCAGCCTTTAATACGAATTGCGCGTATTTTTTACCGGGCTCCACGGCTATTTGTTTAATTATACGCTGTTTGTAAACGCGCACAGTCATTTTCACGAAAAATAGACGTCATTTACTGTTTAATGTCCGCGTTCCACTTCTCTACTTAGCCAACAAAATTATGGGTTTGCTGGGAAAAATCTGATTAACTCTTTTAAACTTCTAAATTAACAGTTTTTTTTTTAGAAACTAGAGAGGGACTCTGTCGTTAATACTGAAACTATCAAGTACATTAAGTTAGGCCATGTTACTTTAAGCTTCTTCTTAGAAACAGACAACTATTAACAATAAGTTTACCATAGAAAATTAATTTTATTGCTAAATTGGTTTGGTAAGTGTGTTTAAATTAATAGTACTTAAGACTATCACATGTGCAATTGTAATTAATTTTGAGATTACATAAACACGTGCTACGTGAACAATGTTCGTTGATTTAATTTAATTATTATGATATTATTAAACTGTCGAGTACAATTTGATAAATTCCTACTCTTCGAGAAAAACAAACTTAATATATTCAGGTTAACAATAACGTTTGAAACGTGGATTTCAAAAGTCTAAATGTTAATTCTTCTCAAAATCTCTTAACAAATTTAAAAAATACAGGTGCTGTTAAAACCTACTTCTAATACTTTCTGCCTCAGTCTCCTTTACCCGTTATATCAAAAATAATGTTTTAACCATATTTATAAGAAAAATGAAGCTCTATCGTTATAATTGAAAGTGAGAAAGTAAACTTGCATTATTCGTTATAATTCTGGAGTTTTATTTTCGGTGAAATTGAATGATGAACATTTTCCACGTGCAGTTATTTCAACTAGAAACGTAATTGATGATGGATTGTTCGATCGATGTCATCATTCTTTGCGTTTCAGAACTTCACTTTCAGTTTGCTTCGTTTAGCCGTAAAAACGCGTGTAAATTAATCTACACTTGACTGGCATCATACCTACAGAATGGGCAGTAATGGAAATACAAATTAACAAACGTCCACTATAAACGACAGTAACATTATCGTGAGGAACGATAAGTTCGACAAGGAACTTTTTTAAACTTCAGGATTCTAAATAATTTCGATATGAAGAAAATCGTAAGCCCCGAAGGCCAGGAATTCTTTACACGCTACATTTTCGAACTCTTCGTTTTGGAATAATGTATTCTACAAAAAAGAATCGGAACGCTCAGACGTTAGCGATCGGAAAACGATTAGGAACGCTGTGAAGGAATTTCATAGTGTAACCCACTTTGCTTTATTATATGCAAGCTATTGTCTAACCCACCCCCCTGTTGGCATATAGAATTAAAAGTAGAAGATATTCTGGCTCTCACCATATGCTCACTAAAACATGCAAGAAATTAGGTTTTCACTTGATCATATTCGTTCTAATTTTAAATTATAATATTATATAAATGTAATGATTCTGCTCTGTACATGGTCAGTAAATAGTAACCCATTATTCTAGTTGATGTTTGATTAGGTGTTTTTGCTTGTAAGAGTAAAATAATAAGAACGAATATTTTGTTATTTAGTCTCCAAACACACGTTATTTATATTATGTTTAAGTATGTTTCAACGATAGGCTTTGAGTCATTTTTAAAATATAGACATATTGCAGTTAAATTTCAATTTCAATTTACAAAGTTACATCGAAAGACTATCATTCTACTTTCTCTGCCAAAACGTTGACACAGTTGTTTAAATAAAGACCACCATTTGAACACATGAAGTTTAATATCCACTTTTTCATTTTACACACACAATATGATTTACACATGTATTGCATATTAAGAACGTCTCAATTTCAATTAATTTCACTTTATTAATAGATTACTTCGAAATGATTAATGATAATCTTTTGTTTTGAATAACAAACCAGAACAAATGAATAACTGTTCCTTAAGACCACGTGAAACCATAAATTATAATTACTTTTAATTATAACTGTGTACGAAAAAAATTTCCAGGGCTTGAACTTGCCCAGAATTTCGACCATGAAGTATCCTGTGTAGCGCTGATAACGTCGCTCCCTCGTTTCAGAAGTGACACAATTAAAAAATTTATTAATTTCTGATTCGAGAGATAAATATAAACAAAAATCACCTACATAACAACAAACGGCGTGCCTATATCACAAACATTATCTATACATCACCGCACGATTATATTTCCTGTTGCGTTTAATATTGTGATGGTTTTAAATTAGTGTCTAAATTTGTTTCGCGATATTTGATTTTGAGTGCGAAATACGGTTTTAACTGTCAGTCGAACATTTGAAACGTACGCTGCATTGCACCACGCAATTACTCACTTTTAATTAATCACTCTCAGTTTTCAAGATATAATTATTAGAATCATTTTATCACCGTGAAAAGAGAATCTATCTGGATTAATTTGAACTTGGTTGAATGGTTCGTTTAAAATACAAGAAGTAAAATACAAAAAAGTCACAAAGTAAACTTGTATAGTGATTTATAAAGTATGTATAAGATACACGCGCGTCTTCGACTGTCAATCAGTGATCTTGTACTCTTACTTATCCGAATTCTGGGAAGCGTGACGATGTCAATAAGATGTCATTATATTTAAAAGAATAAAATTCACTATTGGTAACGTGAAATTAAATACAGTAGAAATAATCTGATCGTCAATTAAAGTTTTTAAACGACACGACTTCGGGAATCAAGAATGCAAACTGAATATCAAGACGTTGTTTACTGTCAAGATTAAATCAGTATTTCTAAAGTGATTTTTAATATAAAGTGAAAATAGTAACGCAATAGGAAAGTTTAGATAAAGGTTACGTTATCTTTCATGTTATGGAATGTAAGAACCTCTATAAAGTCTTTATATAAACAAGACTCTTCAGATATAAACATGTAGGTATCATAAATGAAGGATAAAATTATATAAACTTAAATGGATGAATACAATGAATAATAAAAAAATATATAATAAATAGAGTGCAGTAGTACAATAATTATATTAGGATCTTCGCACTATTTTCATTACTTTGACTTCTATTGTTTATCGTATGCATTCATCCGAATGTAAATAACATTTTCCTTTTTAGCATTTGCATAACATGTTTACACCTAAAAGAGGATCTCAATCCATGGACCAAAACATCGAGTTCAAACAAACATTTTCGCACTCTAATGGCAAATCTTCGTCTTCGTAGCATCCCCAAGATATCAACAAACAATGCCTATTCAAAACATTAGTCTACTTACACCGATTTCAAGACCAAACTCGACCAATACAACCAAGTAAACGGCAGCTATCGTAATTATTGTACGTGTGTGATACGAAGTAATAAATTGTCAACTTACTTCCAAACTCTGCAATGTTCAGTTGCGACACTTTCGAAGCGTAGACGCGGTGTATATCAAACGCAAAATATTTACCACCGCGAACTATAGTCGTTACACATTGCTTTTCTCTATCGTTGTCTTCGCTTCTTTTTCCCTAGCAAAGGGAGAGAGAAAAAAATTCAACTACACTTCCTTTCACGCGTAGATACAGCTCATCGAAAAACGAAGTATTTACTTCCATCCACCGTAAATAGACACCTAGGAGTCGAGTGCAACAACCCTCCAGAACCGTCAGAGTGGTTGCACAAAGTTCGACCAGCCGCGCCGTAGCTCGCGTGACGCACTCGGGAGCACGAACCCCGAACCCGAAAACCCGTCGAACTCGAATAGGGAACGAGTACATGCAAGCTCGATCACTCACCGATGGAGATCTTGTCGGGGTACGCCGCGGGCAAGAGGACCAGCAAGACGCACAAGGCGGTCGTCATCAGTGTGGCAGTGGACGTTGGCCTGTCGATCCGTGAACTAGCAACGTTCTTGAAGTTTCCAAGCGTAACAGACACGGCACCGTGACAATTCGTCGCGCGACGCCGACGTCGCGACGAGGGTGAACTACCCGTACCGTGAACAACCGGGAACATCTTCCGTGCTCCGTGGTCTGACACAAACTGCCGTACTCCACTTGGCGTGAACTCGATCTCGCTTGAACCGCCCCAGCATCCCTCTCTCCAACATTCGCGTCCCCCTCGTCCCTGAACCCCGGACCAGCCACCATTTAACCAGCCCTACGCCCTTCTCTTCCCTTCCCTTCGCTTCTCTTCGTTTCTGTTCTCCTCTCTTGTTTCCTCCTCTGGCCTCTATCCACCCTCCATGCTACAGATCCTGGTCTCGATGCCATCTCCACTACCAACCCCCAATACACACCCTCTCCGCTGCCTACCCCGTCCCCCCCTCTCTCTCTCTGGCGCAACCCCCACTGGCTTGCTCGCTCCCTGTCTCTCTTATCATGTCTGTCTATCTGCTTTTTCCCCATTTCTCCGTCTTTGTTCCAAGGTGGAAGCGCACTGTTAACGCGCATGTTACGACAGAAACGCTCAGCGCGCGGTTCCCTGTACCCGGCGTTTCCTGTTACTTTCTACGAGCAGATACAGATGCCGACATTGGCTTGCTCGGTCGGTACAATGAAAGTAAAAACAGGAACACCCTGAGAGACGACCAGCTCCCCGAACGACGATAACAAGTCACGGGGCTGATTATCGTATGTAAACATCGCGGGCAGCGCGATTGCTCGGCTGAGAATGATGGGTGACATTACCGAACGATTGTCCCGCGGCATTGTCGATCAAAATGATCACGCGGCTGCTGCGACAGGAGATGGGCGAAGTGTTCATCAAAATTTAGTCGAATGATGAATTGCTTTACTGATCATACGAATAATTAGCTCATTTTCTTAAATTTGGAGGTGAATGATAATTGTCGTACGGAGAAACAATAGATAAACATGTTGTTACGTAATGTTAAAATAGCAAGAAAGTGTAGGAATAAAATGTACATTTACATATGCGTGTATGAGAAAATGGATTAGTGATTAATAATTATTTAGTAAGAATCTATAATATATAATGTATGGTATAATATTATTAATTATACATGATTATTTTGTGTAATATTTTATGTGTAATAGTTTATTGAAGTTACATTCATTTATAATTTATCATACTGATAAAATGTATATATTATATGTTCTTATTAAATTATTAATCAGTCATCCATTTTCTTATGCATATAAATATATAAATGTATATTTTGTTGATATATACATGTATAAATATGCAAATATGTATCCTGCTTCTACCATGAAGCAACATAATACAAGATCTTATCCATATTTGTATATTATTAATATACAAATTATATTAATATAATTTAATAATATTATATTAATAATATTAATAATATTATATTATTAATGTGTTATTATTAATATTAATAAAAATGATTGTCTACTTCACAGTGTAAACTGATCAACGATTTTAGGTGTTGTATAACTATTAAAACTCATTACGTAATTATGGAGTCAAACTTTTTAAAGGACAAAGTATAGAATATATTACTTATAATGATTAGAAATTTAACTTGCTTGTAAACATGCATTTAAAATTGCTCTCCTACATTATAGTTGCATTTTCTCAATTTCTTAATTCTATATAATTTTTTTAATACCTCCATCTTCTAAATCCTCTAAAAAGTGTTTAAATTCGATATTCGATGTTACATCGATGAAACCTCGATTTACGGCGACGATCGGCGTCAAACTCGAAGTACTGATTCCAGGTTGTACGTGTAGCTATCAATAAATCAGGTAGGTATGAAATCACTCAAAACTCATCTGGAGATGGTGATAGAGATTCGATGGATGTACGGGATCAGGAACAATTTTTGCTTCTAAATAATCTGCAAAACATACGTGTTTTTAGAACATGACTCCATTAAATAGAAAATAAAATTAATTATCGCTATATTATAGCTATAGGCGCCATATCCCTATTCTTTTAGTCATTAAACATTTCTAATAAAAAAGATTACGTGGATACTACAATACAATGTTTACTCAATTGAAAAATATATGTAAAATATAAAAATACTTGGATGCATTTCATTTCTCAGAAATAAATTAAAATAAAACCGTGTATGCATATTCAAATTAGGGAACCGATCGAAAACTGAAGTTATATTCTGAATAAATATAAAATCTATCTTGAGATCCACATTGAAAAACGTTGCATAAACATTTACATGTTATTTAACAATGGAGATATGAAGAATTACGAAAGATTTCATTAAATTTAACTGTAACAACGCTGTAGTGGCGAGAAGAACTTGACAAACTGCGCATGCGTCGAAAGTTATGGACCTAACAGAATTGGCGGGAGAAATCTTTCTGACCGAATTAAATTCGTTTCAAAGAAATATTTGACATTCTGTGAACGTTACCTGGCAAAATTGAAAATGACATTGCGAATCGTATTGTGTACGTCGAACTGTAAGGTCTGAAATTAGGACAATCGTGTGTACGTGACAAAGTGCCATGACCGAAGCGATTCCTTCGCTTTATGTAAAAGTTACAACCCCATCACTCACGATGAGAACAATATGTTCTTTCTATTCGCTCCCTTTAAACTCGAGCAAGAAACGGCTGTTAGGTCCCCAGGTTGCTTTGCCCTTTGATTCCACGTTCGTAAAGTAAAGCGTAAAATATACGAAGACGGGTGCACCGCTCGCAAAATATCACAGACACTTTACGGTTTGAAAACATGTCCGAGGGCTACGGCCACTTTCTGGCACGTAAAATGTACGTACTTACACAAAGTCGTAAAATCTGATTCCAGGTTGTACGTATAGCTATCAATAAATCAGGTAGGTATGAAATCAGTCAAAACTCACCTGCAGATGGTGATAGAGATTCGATGGATGTACGGGATCAGGAACAATTTTTGCTTCTAAATAATCTGCAACCGCGATTGCAGCAACGAAAATAATAACACATGTTATAAAAACAATAAACAGACAAAACTTGTCCACTTTACAAATATTCGTGATACGTTTTAATTACTTTTTTGTACATCTTGTAAATTTGTTGTTGCTTTCACTTTCTTTAAACTCGTTCATCAATACGGCTGAAGTTAACTATAATCGATTATCGAATGTTCGCGCATGCGCAGTAGCAGCTTGGCTTTCAACGGCGTATGAATGAATTGAGCACCTCTGACATTTTGTTACGAAGAGGTTAGAATGTTGCGAAAGTGACAGATCGCGAAGGATTTCGGTGATAAGTGATTTTGACATTTGTGTAGTTACAATTCTTTGCCGTGATGGATCCAGCATTGCTTAGAGAACGAGAGCTCTTTAAAAAAAGAGCTCTCACGACTCCAACGTAAGTTTTAGATGCCAGTTTACCTTTCTAACCTAAATTTAAAGATATTTTCGTTTCCTATTGTCGTTAAAAATAAGCTGTATAATATGTTGCACTATTATAGAAGCATAATTTATATTTCTAGGGTAGAGAAAAAGAAGAGGGAATTAGAAAAAGATTCTGCAAGAGATGAACCACTCAAGAAAAAACCTAAACCATCCTCCGTATCCAGCGGACCAAAATTGGACATAGTCAACTATAAGACTATGTCTGGTAGCACTCAATATAAATTTGGAGTGTTGGCAAAAATAGTTAAGCACATGAAAGCTAGGCATCAAGAAGGAGATGATCATCCTTTATTGTTAGAAGAAATTTTAGATGAAACAAACCAATTAGATGTTGGGTCTAAAGTAAGTTGAATATTGTATTAATTTCATAGTTGTATAATTTTGGCATTGAAACTTTCCATGATAGGTGATTATAGTATAATTAATTGACCAAATGAAGTATTTATTTGGACCAAACCTTAAAAACAAAACCGAACACATAAAATTTGATTTAAAATACAACGGTCATTTAATTAGGCCAAGTTGTTCTGCTCGCAAAGTACTTCAATTACCAGCAATCAACCTTAAATATCTATTATTTTCTTCCTTATACTTTTTATTAAAGCACCCTTAACATTACTATAATTCAAGGTTTCTAATAATGATATTTTGAAAACCAAGAGTGAGCAATAAATATTTTCTGCTCCAAAACACTCAATAGTGTTCTCCCTCTAGCATGTTTCAAAGGTTTTAACATCTTTAAAATCTTTCTATTATACATTTATTCTTAGATTTATATAATTATTTTATTCATTATTGTGTTAAACTGTTGATATGGAACAACAAGTTATGTTTACTGAATTCTATAAGTAATTGTTTGAGAAAAATAAGACGAGCATGCATACAGTATATTTTATAGTTAAGGAGTGAAAGATATTATCAAAGGTGTAAACCTATAGATAAACTTTCTCCTGTTAGGTAAAACAATGGCTACAAACAGAAGCTCTTATAAAAAACCCAAAGATAGAAGTGACTCATGATAATAGGTTTATGTTCAAAGCTATGTATAAAATCAAAGATAAAAAATCTCTATTGAGATTATTAAAGCAACAGGATCTGAAAGGTCTTGGAGGAATTTTATTAGAGGATATACAAGAAAGCTTACCACACTGTGATAAACATTTAAAGGTAGGTATAGTTCTAAATGTTTTGCCATCGTCTGTGTAATAGATACAGTTAGTTGATGATTTTAATGGTGACACATCAAATGCAGAGTTTGCAAAATGAGATATTATTTATAACTCGGCCCTTGGATAAAAAGAAGATCGTCTTTTACAATGACAAGACAGCTCAATTTCCAGTAGACGATGAATTTCAAAAATTATGGAGGGCCGTTGCGGTCGATGCAATGGATGATCAAAAGATCGACGAGTACCTTGAAAAACAAGGAATCAGATCGATGCAAGACCATGGTCCTAAAAAACCAGCATTGATTAAAAGAAAGAAACCTGTTAGTAAGAGGAAACAGTTCAAAAAGCCAAGGGATAACGAACATTTGGCAGATGTATTAGAAACATACGACGATTCGAAATAATTATGTTTTAATTTTGTAAATAAAGTGAATTTCATACCTAACTATTAAAAAGGAAGTAAGATTGTTTAATCACCAAAAGATTTACTTTACAGTTAGGACTGTAGGGTTACATCACCGTGATATAATAAATAAGTAAAATATTTATTGTCATAACTTTCATTGTAAGTACAAAATAAATATAGATCAGTTTCCACATCTAACATATAAGTCATGTTTAAAATCCGCCTCGTCAAACGAACAAGCCATACATTTCACACTGTGAAAACATTGAACATTCAATTTTGTTTCGAGTAACTATAATCTAACACTATTTTTACGTAAATTAATGTCAAGTGTAATCTACATTGAAACAAATTGAAAAGTGTGACAATATAGTAAAAAAAATGATATTTATGTTGCTACTGACTCAATAAATTTGTTTAACATGAATTTTTCAAATCGTATATAATATAGAATTTATATAATATTGTTACAAAAATTGTAAACGTTACATGATAGTATACAAATCTTTGGTACTTATAATTGCAATGATAAGTACGCGTGTATGCATAATATATATATATGCAATTTGCTTTCAATTTTTAAGATTGCGACGAAAATTTTGTTTAAAAATTATCACCACGGTAAACTCTCTCGTGCATATTTTTTTTTTAACGCTAGCTTTACGGAGATATCAGATTTCTATTACTAAGGTACATATCGCTTTCATCAGTGAAATTAATTTACTAGAATTAGTTAGAAGGCTTAGACAAAAATAAATTTGAATATAAGCTTGTTTCTTTATATGTATAGATAAAAGTCAGTAAAAAGTGTAAACGGTTTTTGTAACTTTTCTTGCAAAATTTGGAGTGGGTCAAACTAACCGTGGTCCGTAAATCTAGCGTTAATATTGTATTTCAATATTAATAAATAAAGCAATTCAAATATCAATCCTTTGGAAGCGCCGAATCACTTTTCCCTCGTGAATAAGCACGCGTCGCTTTGCTCCCGAGCATTCTATCCAATAAAGATTGCTTGTTTCTCCTTCTAGCTGCCAAAACTTCTCGACACAATTCGTGGAAAGACTCAGCGACTTGGGTGACCTAGAGTAACGTATTATTTCTTCGGTAAGCATCATGTAATTAATAGCATAACGACAAACTTTTAAACAAACGAAATAGTCGAAATCGTACTTGTTCAGCGGCAGACACTTCGTTGAACCAGCATTCAAAGTCTTTCGCAAGTATCTCTCCCTCTTCGGTGCTAACTTGTCTTAAGTGAACCATGTCAGCTTTGTTTCCAACCAAAGCAAGGGGCATCGTAGCCTCTGGATCAGCCACAGCGAGCGTTTCTTTTGCCTTCCTCACGAAATTGAACGAACCCCTTTCGGTTATCGAGTAGACTAAAAGTAATCCATCTGCCCATTGTAGAGTCTCCGTCGATGGCAATTCGTCTTCGGTCTGAAACGTCCACGTTAGAAAGGTAGCTTTTACTTTCGATCATTTCTTGCATTAATGATAAGTATCGATACTTATACAATTCCCAATCGCAATAGTAGCGAAACACGCATTGTTTAAATATAATTTATTTTAATGTTTCAATTGTATTATTGGCTGGTCCTCTTCGGTAAAAGATGTGGATATTAGAGGGTAAGTTCAGGTTCTGAAAATTTAGTATTTCTAATAGTAATAAGAAATATAATAGTAATTAGGTCTGGGTTAGGTAAGTTAATATGCAAATTTTCAAAATATGGACAATATAAATAAAATTATAGTGTACAATATCAATCAAATATTCTTAAAGGGATAAAGATTTAATTATTTTAACTGAATGTTGTGTCTCAAATTTTCGACTATTTTTTCGGCTACACTGTAATTTTATTAATAACGTGTTATCAAAATTCACACCCTATGCATTATAAAATGTATGGAAGACATTATATGATAATACAGAAGAAACAAATTTTTATAAAACAATATATATACATGTATAATTTTGCGTTTATACACATCTAATATTCAGTTACATATATTAGAAGAGAACTGAAATATGATATGCTGGAAACGTTTCAATAAACTTTTTAACGATGCTCGGTTTGCCACCTTTACGATTGACTTTATTATTCATAGACGTGTTACCTTCGGGCAGGTATCCAAAATTTCGAAAAGAATAGGTTCACCGTCGACCAACACCTCGTGTTTGTATCTGTTCTCTAAACACAAGAAAGTTTTTTTTTTAGTGGAAACGACTGAACTAGCTAGTTAAAGCATTTCGGAGATTAGCGTCCTCGAGATAAAACGACGGAAAAATTACGTAATAAGTTTTCACCGGGGCCACGCATATACATAGTTCAGATCAGGTAGCCCTCGGCCTTTAAGTAGATCTTTTCAGTCCAGTCTAGTTTCAGATCCCGACGCGTGCTTGCAAGAAAGCCGCTTGTCTTCAGTCTGCGTCTGTATTTGTACAAAACAAGAAGTTCTGTTCGAGTATCAACCTCGCATTAGTGCCCGTCCTATCTAGTGTCAAATTCGTCTTCGATAAATTTAGACCAGACACGGCCCGCGGTATGCGTAGGAAGAGTATACGCGATCTTTGAGGTGGCGTACAGTCCCTGGCAATTTTTCAAAAAAACACGCCATTCTATTGTCAACTCTATTCACATTTCATTGTAATTTATACCACCATCAAAAGGCCGTGTCCCTATCACGAGCCGAGCGTTGAAAGCTGAGATGTTCTTTACCTGACTGGTGATCATATTCCCCGATGTATCTCCTTGTTAGAAACCTCACTGTCAATGCTGGAATGTAAGAAAAAAAAGAAATATTACTGTAAGCAAGTTACTGTTCTTTAGCAAAATGCAATAGTTTTATGTATTGTTACAGCGAACAAAAATCTTTTTATTTCGTTGGCTATTGTAATGGATAAGATTGCTATCAATTGACGTTTTACTTCTCACGTCATCGTTATATTTGCATTTCTCAGCGCTTTGAGATGCTTTGAGTTCAAACATGCAAAAAAAGAAAACAGACAATTCTACATACATGAATATGTGTATGTAAATATATTGATTGGTGTTTTGGTTTATACTCCTGAAGTGGTTTATTATAATGTTATGAAATTATTTATTAAGTTCATATGGGTATGGAAAATTATTGTCATAGACTATGGCATAGTTGTGGTTAGATATGATCATTACAATTGAGAAAGTATGAGGCTTTTACCATCATTACCATCTTTCTATGACTATATGTTCAGTATTAGTGTTATTTACGTTGCTAGAACTTTACGTGGCATTATTTCCGTGTATATTAGGAGAGTGTGTAATAATATATAAATAGAAAATGTTCATCAATAGAAATTCCTTACGCACTTCAGATAGAAAGTCATCAACCTATATTTTCCTAGAGCTGCGCGTTCTATTTCTATCGTTTCGTTTACCACTCAATCGATTCAAGTTATTTCAAATACAAAGGAAGTGTGTTACACTGCGAAGAATTTCTTTAGAAAAAAAGGAACTGTTGCTGTAGATTTTCTCAAACTGGAGTTCTTAAATTCTTAGGGGTCCACGAATGTATTAGTAGGAGTCCTTACGTTCCCAGTAGAAAAAAATGTATGTAATATCGTGGAATAAAAAAATAATCACGAAAAAAAATAATCTCCTTATAATATTTTATTTTTATTAATTGAGTCTCCTTCCATGAAGAACTAAGAAATTGATTTTTTTATAAATTCTTTTCAAATACAATACATGTTGTTGATAGCCCTTTAAAAATTTGCTGTCTTATCTATGCACACTTCTAAACAACATTTTTTCATAAATATATATTAATTAGAGAAATATTACACTGTGCTCAATTTTTCAAGTTGATGCATAGCAGTAAATTTCGTCTTTAGTTGAGTACTACCCCAGTTTCATTCTTGACAGATAGCATTATTTATTTAATTAAATTTTGTGGAAGTAGTTTTATAACTTTTTCAATGATACTTTGTACTTATAACATTTTTCACCCTGCTTTTGTAAGAAGTAATCGCCATAAATTTTATAGAATTCCTTATTTGCAGTAGGATAGTAGTTTTACGTGAAAGTCATGTAATAAAATTACTTTTAATAAATAACGTAGAAAACATTCAACTAAAAAAACAAACTATATAAATTAAATAAAAATTGGTAAAACATAAATTCACTTTTTCCAACAACAGTCTTACATTATAAAAATTTGTTGTTCGCTTCGTTCTCCCTTTGGAAATTTTCTTACTTTGATTGTAATAAAATTTTGACTGTTACTACGATACTACTCTTAAAATCATGTTTTAAATTACATTAAAGAGAAATTCTCGGGCTCTCATCGCAACTGTTAGTTTATTAAGTAAGTAATGATAAAGAATGAAAAACGTTGTGACTCAGTATAGTATTGATACAGTTTCCACCCAAGTATAAGACCGTCTAATGAAAGTTTCTAGTTATTTTTATTTTTGTTTTGACTTTTTCACGATCGCTGAAAATCAATTTTCACCCAATATTTTGAAAACGAACGCGATCTTACCCGAGACGGTGCGCGTTTCGACAAATCTCGATTCGATCGAGAGAAACGAGAGCTATAGCCTAGTGACCCGCTTCGAGGTATACCACACTATTTTTACCTCGAACTCGAACCTGCCACGGCGCCATAAAATCTTGCACGAGCGTTAAACGTTACCATGGTGTGTTTCATCTCAAATTTAATGAAAAGTGACCCGTTTGACAAACTTCCTCGAGGAAATTTCTTCAATCACAATTACAACATTTCATTGAATTATGCTACGAGATGTCAATTGATATTATGAAAATAATGTATTTCGTTTCAAAAATAGTCAAACAAACATTTTTATTTTAACGTTTCGATCAGGATTTCATCAGAAAATCAGAATTTATAATGAAAGCTACAGAAATAGTACAAAATATATATTTTAAAAAATATTATACAATTATAATGAAAAACCTAATAAAAACCTTTCTCAAGGGGATCAAATGATTGAAACGTTAAAACATATTTGATGTTTAGGTAAACATATACAATTCATATAATTCATATATATGTATATATGTATATTGGTTTAACGTCAAAGAATGTGTCATCATTCATTGTTTACTGTTTTTCGAGTTCTTGGTTTCCGTTCTCCTCTTCAAATTCTGGTATACTCTGTTTCCTACAATCAAACTCTTCTGTACATTTATCGTATTAACTACATTCTTCTTTTAATGTATAAATTTCCACGAATTATGTTATATTTTTAGTTTGTATAGAATCTATTCCCTGAAGTGGATCTGTAAACTGAACCGAAATATATTGCAACTAAAGTAAAATATTTTTAAACTAAACAATAAATTCTTCCAGATTCTTTTCTATACCAGTACTAATATAATCCATTTCCAGAACAATAAACATCTATATTTATCATATTGTAACCATGGTTAAGGATTCAAGGAAAAGAATTCTGGACAGACAAAGGTTTATTGTGAGGAACATGGTTATACAGAGGATTGGGAATGGATAATTGTAACAGGAATTCAGAATGAACGGAATTATATAAAAGAGCATAATACAATTTCTCATTTTACAATATTTTACAATTTTCAATCTTTGAAATAGAAGAATCATTCTGTACCCTCCCGCTCGTAATTGGCGTCCAGGTATTATCGCCGAACTCTCCAAAAACGCACGGGAGTCTAGGAATAACCTCCCTCTAGCTCTAACTGGGATGTCCACGAGTAGCTCTGTTCTCCCCTACTCAACAGGCGTCCAGGTATTATTGCCGAACTCTCCTTGTCGAGCAGGCGACCAGGGACATACTCCCGTCCTCTCCTTTCTCCAGCAGGCGTCCAGGTATTATCGCCGAACTCTCCTACCGGAGTCCCTAAGCCGAGTTCTGAGAGCGGCCGATGGTCTGACCTCGTCCTCTCTCCCGGAATGGCAAATAGGCCGAATGCCTCTACGAGCCCTCAATTTATATCGCATGGTTGCTATCCGTGGCCGCGGTTGTCAACAGTCGCGTCGTTAGGCGAGAAGGTCGCGAGTTCGCGGTCCGCGCCTCGCGTCTCGCACCGCGCAGCGGCCTCCCTCCTATGTTCTAGAAGTTTCGTACGCTCGCTTTTCGTATTTCTTGAATTTCGTATGCTATAATATTATATATAAATTAATTTTTTGAAAAATAAATTTAACCGACTTCAAAAAAGGTACAGTGAAAAGTATGAAATAATTTCTAGTTAATTTATATGAATACGCACTAGCTCTATAATTGCTTAAATGTATAGGAAAATGCAGTGAAAAGTATGAAATAATTTCTAGTTAATGTATATAAATACGCACTAGCTCTAGATATAATTGCTTAAAAGTATGGCAAAATGCAATGAAAAGTGTGAAATAATTTCTATTTAAACTGCATTGTTATTCACCATCGTTTGATGAATTTGGTTAAATTATTAAATACATCATGTTAAATGCAATGCACCTTTTTCCGAGGCGGCGCAAAATTTAAAATTAAGTATATTCCCAATTGCCAAACTTGGTTTAACTTTCTGTCGAAGAATAGAAACAACTATTCAATATTGCCGCCCCCACCAAATACTATCCCAAAGCTATTCATACAGTTTTTCCATGGGGAGAGTTTATACATTAGCAGTAATCAATATTGCCGCCCCTCTCCTCCAAAAAAGCCCCAAATCTACTCAAACTATATTTCCGTGTACATACTATATACATTAAATATTAATTCCACATAGACAATAAACATGTATACATTGACAGCATTCAATATTGCTGCCTCTACCAAAAGCTAACCCAAACTGGAATTAAAAATTTTTTATATCTGCGCCGCCTTCTAAAAAGGTGCATTGCATTTAATATGATGTATTTAATAATTTAACCAAATTCGTCAAATGATGATGAATAACAATGCAGTTTAAATAGAAATTATTTCACACTTTTCACTGCATTTTCCCATACTTTTAAGCAATTATATCTAGAGCTAGTGCGTATTCATATAAATTAACTAGAAATTATTTCATACTTTTCACTGTACCTTTTTTTGAAGTCGGTTAAATTTATTTTCCAAAAAATTATTTTATTTCACTCTTTTTAGTGGCAATCTATAACCAATAGGTTTCATGCAATAACAATAGTTATGAGCAATATACAGGATGACCCAAAAATGTTGGAGGTCCTTGAAAAG